CGGGGGGTGGGGGGGCAGCGCCACGTGGTTGCGCGTGTAACGTGTCCGCAGGGCCGGGATCCGGGCGGCCCGCGCGCTCGCGCCAAGGGCCAGCCGCGCACCGGACGTGGACCGACGTGTCTATAAGTGTTGGGGCGGGGAGGGGGAAGTTTCTGAGGCAGCAGCAGGCGGGTTGGACGTGTGCGCGCGCGTGTCCCTGTGTGTGTGATGTGCAGGGCCCCGGGTGAGCTGCGCCCTGCCGAGAGTCCACGTGGCAGGGCTGCTCGGCCTGGCGGGCACCAGCGGAGCGGCGTGCGGTGCGGTGCGGGGAGGACGGGGGAGGTGCCAAGCACTGGGGGCCGCGGGGGCACATGGGCAGGGGCCGGGGGGTCTCCAGAGTGCCGCACAGCCGTGTGGGACCCACTGGCAGACACCAGCTGGGAAAAGTGGCAGCTGCGGAAAGGAGAGGCCGGGAGCCAGCCGGTGTGGGGCAGGCTGTGGTCACATTGCAACAAACATCCTGGGAGAAGGGGTCCCGGCTCCACCCCCTGCTGTTGTCCTCCGGGACGGCTCTCACTGAGGATGTGTCCCTGCCACAGTCCCCTGCCACTTGCCCTCAGCCTCCCTTATCACCAGTGTCACGCGCCCCCTCCCCCTTGCCAGTGCTGCAGGTCCTGTCCCCAGGCACCTGTTTCCCACAGCTGGCAGTGCCCTGGGTTGGACCTGGCTGGGACACTTTTTTTAAAGAAATTTTTTGTGTTTCCAGCCAAATCAAGTCCAAATCCATGAGTCAGTCCACAACCGTAAGTGGCCCTACAGTCGGCAAACATCCTCCACCCCCACCAGGGGCTTCAGATATTTCCAGCATCTTTTGGCAGGCATCCTATGTGCCGGCCCAAGCCTGGAGGCTTGGGGTTCAGATGCCCCCAGGTTTCGCCTGCCCTCAGCCGTATGGCCGCAGGCGCAAGCTAGGGAGGAGCCTCCCATTTCCATAAAGCCCCAACACCTTGGCAGGTACTAAACCACGCCAGAAAAACAGTTATCCCCGGGAGTGCTTAAGGAAAACTGCCTTCATGGACCCAGATACGTGGTGTTTCCCTTGCCAGGGCCTGGCTGGAATACACCATGAAGAACCCAGCGTTCTTTGTACCAGCCTGTCCTATTGTAGGAGGATCTGAGCAGTATCACCGTGGCTGTCCCTCTCCCTGGCTGGTGTGACCAGTCCTTGGGCCTGCTGGATCCTGTGCAGGTGTTGCGTGTGGTTGGCAGACACACAGGCTCATGAAGCTGCCTGCCTGGGGACCTCCTCCCAACTCCTGTTCAGACAGGACAGGGCAGGTCCTGTAGAACATCAGCCAAGTGTGGCTTTGCCCCGTTACCTGTGATTCCTCCCAATCCCTGTGTATCAGCAGGAAGGAGGAGAAGGAGAATGGTCTGGTGGGTAGGGTAGGGCTCAACCCTTGCTCTGCCGCCACCCCCTTGGATAACTCACTTAGCCACTCCTGGACCCACCTACTCTGAGCCCTCCTCAGCCCCAGGCACTAGTGATTGTTTAGTGCTCAGACACTGAGGCAATGGGGTACTTGGGGCAGGAGGGCCCTGCCTGGCCACTGCAGTGGGGAGAGATCACAAGGGGGCCCTGCAGCACCTGACCTTTGTTTGGAAGCAGGAGGGTGGCTGGGACCAAGGAGGAAAGGTGAAAGGGGTCATGTGGGTTAGACGGGGACTGACATGAAGAGGGTAGAGCCAAAGTGACATTGGAGGGGGCTCACACATGGGTAGGGAGAGGGGTAAAATGAAGGAAGTGTGCGCAGGAGTGGAAGTGGTGGGGCTGAGAGCAGCTGGGAGGGGAGGAAGAGGGTTTCACCGGCTAAAGAACCAGTTCTGCTCTAACCGTATTGTGAGCCAGGGCCTTGGCAAGGGCTTCCCTTCCTCTGTTTTCGTAGGTGGGGGCCATGCACAGATGATGCCCTCCCTTCCAGTTGTGTCCAGTTCAGATCTCAACCTGCCCAGCTTTCCCCAAGGCTGCCGAGTTTGCAGCCTTGAAGGCTGTCCTTAGCTTTGCTTGGTGAAACCTGTTCTTTCCCACCCTGGGCACTTCCGGGGGCTAGGACTAGAGCTCTGCTTCTCGCTGGGAGGAGTCCCACCCTGGCCCTGCTTCCCTCACAGGCCTGCACTATTGCAGGGCTGTGGCACCCCAGCCCTCCCCCTGCTTCAGGGCAGTGCCTGGAGTGAGGGTACCAGGGGCTTTCCTGAGGTGGTGATACAGTGCTATGTGTTGCCAGGCGGTGTGCAAGATGGCGCCAACACTACAGCAGGCGTACCACCGGCGTTGGTGGATGGCATGCACCGCTGTGCTGGAGAATCTCTTCTTTTCTGCTGTGCTGCTGGGCTGGGGCTCCTTGCTCATCATGCTCAAACATGAGGGCTTCTACTCCCACCTCTGCACAGGTGAGAGCCCCAGGCCCATGGAAAAGCTGGCAGTGCCCTGCCAGAGAAGGGCAGGGCTAACAAGAAAAGCAAGAAGGGCAACTGGGATGGGGAGGAGCTGGGTGCAGGGGTGGGGCTGAAGGGAACAGTGTTGAGGGACCCTGGCTGCACCCTCCTTGCACTGCATGTGACTCTCTGGTTTCTCCCTCCTTCAGGGGGGCTGGCATGGCTAGGGCCCTGCAAGCCATGCACCTCCCCAGACCACCCAGGCTACTTTTGGCCTCTTCTTCCCTCATCCCAGGTGGGGCAGCGGGGAGCCTGCTGGGGAATGGGTATGTTTGTTAGAGCCCAAGCTGCATTACCCAGATTAAAGACAGACACACCAACAGAGGGAGGGGCAGACAGACAGTTCTGTGGGGCCAGAAAGTTTCTTCCTTTGTGTCATGAGTCTCCCTCTCCTTCCTTCCACCCCCCCGGCACATCAGTTCAGGGCTGCTCTGGGGCATGTCCTCAGAAGGGACCCTGTGTATGGTGACTTGCCCCAAGGCAGATGCACTGACCCTATGGGTCTGGATGCAGGCCCATGAGGATGGGGATCAGGCCAAGCCCTTCCAGCCAAGGGGATTGGGGGGCTGGAGTCTTTTGCTCACCCACTACCCCTCTCAAGAGGCCCTTACCCCTTTTCTGACAGCACTTGCCTACCCTCCCAAAACCCTTTTGCCCCTTCAGGAGACTCCAGCACAGCTGAGAGCCCCTTCTCTCCCTGCCCCATCCCAAAAACCTTCTTGCCCTCTGTTCCCTAGTGGGACCCCAGCCCTGCCATACACGGGTCCCATCTACCCCAGAATGTCACCCTCCCCAGCAGGCCCCCCCCAGGGCTGGGGAAGTGCCATCTTGGAGGGGTGGTGGGAACAGTATCGTTTGGTGCTGGAGTGCATGACTGTGCGGGTCTCATGCAGATGAGAATGCCACCGAGGCCCACGCCAACCTCAGCACAGGGCCCAGGGCCAGGCTGCTTGCCTTCCACTGGCCCAGCTGTGTGGAACAGGAGGAGATGCTGAACCTGGGCTTCACCATTGGCTCCTTCCTGCTCAGTGCAGCCACCCTGCCACTGGGGGTACTCATGGACAAACTGGGCCCACGGCCCCTGCGTCTCCTTGGCAGGTATGGAGTGGGTGAGGGCAAAGCTGCTGGGTGGGGGGCAGGGAAGGGGGCACGAATTGTTTGTGCCTGGGAGGGAGTGGGGTGTAGAGCAGGTGCCTGTGGGGGTGGGAGGTCCCCTGGGTGCAGGGCAGGATTTCCAAGACCCCCAGACACAACTAAGGTGGAATCTAAGTGCCCCTACTTACGGAGACCCTGTGGTCACTGGGGCTTCTGGAGCAGCTGGCTCAGGCACCTGCATTCTGCTCCCAGGATACCCATCTGACCTAGCTGAGGTCTGGGTGCAAACATCCCAAGTATGCTTCTTTGGGATGTACAGACCAGGCTTCTCTGTGCCTGAGCCTACTGGCTGATAGCAGGGGCCTTTGAGCCCTCCCAGCACTGACTGACAGCACTGGGGAAAGGATTACCCACCTTGTGCCTGGTAGCCCAGTGCTTGGAACAGTCACCCAGGGAGCAGGAAACCTGGGTTGTAGGTCCTGTCTGCCTGAGGGGACCCAACCCTCAACTCCTGCTTCCAAGAAAGTGCTCTGACCTCCTGGCCATGGGCTAGGGTAGACTGGGGGCTCTCCCCTTCCCCTCCTGCTATAGATGGGCAGCTATGAGCTATGGGCCAGAACAGCAAGGAAGCAGGGGCCTTGCTCTGTGGCCCTGGGAAGGGGAGGTCAGGACTCTGCTTCTGCTTTGCAATTGTTCATGCATTTTATGCAGTGACCCAAGTCTCCCCTCATCCAGGGTAGGGCCCATCCCTGAGCTACCCAATCAGGCTCCCATTTGCTAGCTCTCTTTTTGTCCCCAGGCTCTCTCATTCTTAGCTGCCCCTAGCCGAACATCAGCAGGATGTTGAGCTGAGGCCTCAGCCAGCCTGTACCATAGCTTGGGGTGAGAGTGCTTCCCTTAGAGGTGGGAGATGAGGGTTTAAAGGCCCTCAGCCTGAGGGTATCTAGAGTCCAGGTCTCCTACTTCCTGGCTGGTGCACTCACTGCTGGGCTACTGGGCAGAAGGCAGGTGTCACCACCACCTGTGGGGGAGTTTCAGGCTGCTGGTCCCTGTCTCAGGAGCGCCAAGCCCAGGGATGCAGAGAGATGCCCAGGTCTGAGGTAGGCCAGGGAGTCTCTGGGTGTCTGATTGTTCTGTGTTTCTGCAGCTCCAGCTTTGCTATCTCCTGTGCCCTGATGGCCCTAGCTGCCTACAAACCCCAAGGTGAGGTCAGGTGAATGCCCGCCCCCCCAGTGCCTACCAGCCCCTGCAGCCCTGGCCACCCACCCCTTCCCCTGCTACTGCTCAGCCACTTGGGTTGAAGTCTTCCTTCCCCATTCCTCACCTTACCTCCCTTTCCTGTGCCATTGGTTCTCTCAGGGAGACCTATGTGCATTGCCCCTGCCTCACTCAGCTGTTACCTCCAGCTGTTTTCACCACCACCCCTACTGCCCATCCTCACCTCCCACTTTACCATTCTCCCCCCAGTTCTGTCCCCACTGATTTTCCTGGGCCTCTCCCTGAATGGGTTCGGGGGTATCTGCCTGACCTTCACTTCCCTCACGGTGAGTGGTTTTTTGTGCCCTGGGGGGTTGGGTGGCAGTGTGGCAGGAGGCTGGGTCTCTCCATGCCCTGGGTTTGATGATGGTGTCCTCATCCCTGTCCTACCCTGGGCTAGTGATTTCCAGGCCCTGAGCTTGGTGGCAGAGTTTTGCCCCCATCCCTGCATTCAGTGACCCAGCACCCACTAGCAGGATATTGGGGGCAGAGGCCTGACATGGGCAGGACCTAGTCAGGCTGTTTAGGGCTAGTTTGTCCCTGCTGCAAAACAGGGGGATCAAGGTGGGGAGGGAGCACTTAACCCTTGGCATGCTGTAAGGGGCCAATCCAGACACATGACTCCCCTGTAACAGCCCAGGGCAGTTTAAGTCTGTGCGCTAGAACGAGAAGACCGGGATGTCTGCCTAGTCCAAGCTGGAGAAGGCCTGGCTCCTGTGGGATTTAACCTTTGCTGGCTTGGCCTTCTCTGCTCATTTCTCTGACCCCATGACTCCTTTTTGGGCTCCCAATGGGCTTGCTGTGTTTATCTGTCCAAGGCAGCCTGGGCAGAGGTGTAAAGAGAAGCTGCCATTGAGGTAGGGGGAAGGAGGGAGGTAGGCTGCATGTCACTGGGCTGTGGAGACTGGCCAGAGGCGGGTATGGGGGAGGTATAGGACCCTCTTGCCTGAGTGGCACAGCCCTATCCCTGGGGGTTTGTGTGTGTAAGGAAGCGTGGTTCTGAGGGTGCTGGTGTGTGTGTGTCTTCTTTGGATGTGGAGTGTCAGCCTAGGGTTTTGGAGTAGGGGTGTCTCTGGAGCTTTGTGTGGGAAGAGGTCTTCTTCCTGGGTATCTTTATGTGTCTCTAGGCTGTACACCAAGTCCCTTTGCTCTGGGGGTTGGACTCTTTGTGTGTGTGTCTGTGTGGAGAGTCTCACGCATGTGTGATGGAGGGTGTTCTCTGTGCATGATTGCATATGCGTATTTATGAGGAAATGGTATGTTTGAGAGGGAGTTCTGTATATGTTGAGAGAGTCTGTTCTGCCGATGTGTGTGGTGGCAGTCTTCTGCGTGCCTGCATGCGTGTATGTTTGCGGGAACTGTGTGTCGAGTGAAGAAGTCTCTTTTGTGCATGTGGTGGGGGAGTGGAGTCTGCTTTGTGTGTGTGTACCTAGGGGACGGACTGTGGGAGTATGTGGCAGGGGATGGTGAAATCTCTACTGCATATATCAGTGCTTGGTCTTGCTGGGGGTGTGACTGTCTCTCCCTTTAGCATAATGCAGCATGGTCTCACCCTGGGAATGGGGGTGCCCCATCACCAGATATGCATTTCCCCATGGCCATGGCCCAGCCTGGGCGCTTGCCCTGTGCCCAGCTGGAAGCCGCTTTTTTCGCTTCCATGGCTTGTGCTGCTTTGGGTGCTGCACTGGCATGGTCAGTGCCTGTGGACCCTGCATGGTCCTGATTGCATGGCTGGGCCGTGGCCTGCATTGCAAAACCCCTTACAGGAGGGACCTTTTCCTAGGTGCTTGGGTCTGGACACTGACTTCAGAGCTGGGGCAGGGGGTGCACCTGTGGGTGCTTCTGCCCTGGGCACATGGCAAAGAGGGCGGTTGACAGGGGTGGCATTTCCATTGGGGTGGAGGGGGCGGTCTGAGGGGCTAGTCCTCAGTGACTCCTCAGAGCAGGTTGGGCCAGGCCAGTCTGTCTGGTATTCCTGGCGGGGGTGTCATGCGGCGGAGGTGTATGGGCATGTGTGCGGCTGACTCCCTGTGGGGGTGGAGGGATGGGTGTGTAGGACTGCATGCGTGTCACAGACTGCTGGGCTCCAAAAGGGGACTTGCGCCAGAGCAGTGGGTGACCTTGGCATTGAGATTGGTACTCCCCTTGGAGCCTGGGGCTGGGAAGGGAGCAGGGGCCATAGCACAGGGCTGGGGGCTCAGGGAGGGGAGAGCTGTGCTGGGCCTGCAGAGCAGGTGTGGGAGGGGGCAGGGCTGGGTTCACCTCTGAGGAGGTGATTTCTCCTTCTAGTGCACAAGGGGTTACAGGGCACCCAGGCAGCCCTCCCCCTGCCTATGATGCAGGCTAGGGGCAGCCAACAGGAAGGCAGGGGGGGTGCCACACCCCTACCAGCCTCCCTGCTAGGACAGGTGCTGATTCTGGCTGTGCACCAGTGCTGCAGTGTTTGTTTACTAAGCCAAGGTGCCCTGCAGGGGGGATCACAGGGGGAGGGGAGCTGGCTTTGCTTCTCCCACACAGCAGACCACTCCCACAACTAGGGTGGTCATCATAGAGGATGTTTCGGTTTTCTGCTACTGTGTCCTCTATTGCTTTGAAACCTCACACCTTTATGTTCTCTATTTTTGTAGAGAAAAATAGAGGACATAAAGGTGTCCGGTTTCATATCAATAGAGGACAGAGGATACCTAGACTGTCCTCTGTGATGACCACCCTATCCACAACACTGCCTGACTGCTGGGGGGGGGGCGGTCCCTGCCATGATTGTCTTCCCCCCACACTACCCTCACACTGTGGCCCTGGCTCTGCTCAGTGCTGGGATCCTGGGGAGATGCTAGGTTTCAGCTGCGGTCCTTCTTCCACCCCATACATTGCTCCACAGGGGGACTGTGACTCTGGTTTTATGGAAGAGCGGCTGGTCTGGGGCAGAGCCCAGATCTGCCCCCACTGCTCTGTTACTGCCCTAATGGGACCCATACTGTATTCAGGACACCTCCTCTGGGCAGGAGGAGACATGGTTCTGCACCTCTCCCCCCCTTTCAAAAGTGCTTCCTTCCTGGGACCCTGCTCCAAAGCATCCCCTCCCCCCTGGGTGACTACCTTCCTCCCCCTGTCCCCCTGATGGGTCTTCTGCCCTCCCGCAGCACTACCCTAACCTCTGCATCCTCCCCAGCTGCCCAATATGTTTGGGAACCTGCGCTCCACCTTCATGGCTCTCATGATCGGCTCCTATGCCTCCTCAGCTGTCACCTTCCCTGGAGTCAAGGTACAGATCAGTGAGATGGGGGGGAGGGGACACAGGGTCAGATCCTACCCCCAACTCCTACACCCCAGGCAGCTGATGGAGGGGTCAGAAAGCCCTCCCTGCAGGGGCAGGGCTGGGCCAGGCAAACAGGGTCCAGAATGCCAGCCAGCCCCACCCAGTTGGCTGTGCCCATGCCCTTGACCCCCTGCTCTGCCCCCTACAGCTGATTTATGATGTGGGCATTTCCTTCATTTCCATCATGCTGACTTGGGCAGGCCTGGCCTGTCTCATCTTCCTCAACTGCTTCCTCAACTGGCCCAAGGAGTCCTTCCCAGCACCGGAGGAGGCCAGCTACACGTGCGTGATCACAAGGGGTGCTGTGGGGAGCAGGGCAGAAGCAGTGGCTATGTGGAAGGTCTCCATACTCTAGTCCCAGGCTCTCCCAACAGGGATCAATGTCCCCAGTGGGGAGGAGGGTGCTGTGGAGCGGCCATGGTTGGTGTCCCCAGTGCGGGGGACGGGTTGTGGGTTGGCTGAGACAGGTGGAGGCATTAGCTGTGTTCACCCCACCCTGCCCCCAAACAGGAAGAAGATCAAGCTGAGTGGGCTGGCGCTGGACCACAAGGTGACTGGTGACCGCTTCTACACCCATGTCACCACTGTGGGGCACCGCCTCAGCCAGAAGGCGGCACCACTGCAGGAGGGCAAGGCACTGTGTCCCTCCACGCAGGACCTGTGCCACAAGGACACGGCAGCTACTGAACGTAAGTGCCTGGCTGGACCTCCGGGAGACACAGCGTCAGGGCTGGGTGGATCAGAGCATCTCTGGTTGAGGTGCCCTGCAGCAGTGATACCACGGCATCCACAGCATCCAGTGCAGCTCCTGCTGGTTTCTGTGCACCCAGGACAGGTTTTGAGTAGCAGGATGTGTGGGGAGGGACACTCCCCAGCAGGGTGTGTGGGTCAGTGTCCCACAGTGGGCATGATGGGTGCAGTGTCCAGGCAGCTCAGGCCAGCAATGAAGGGCAGTGTGGGGGGCTTTGGGTGTCCAGAGTGCCACTAGGTGGCACACAGGAACAGGATGGGGGGTGCAGGTGTCTGGGGTGCAATGTGTCAGGGTCCCCCCTGTTGGGATGGGGTGTAAGGGGTGCTGGGTTTCCCTGGGGAAACAGGGGGCATAGGGGAGAGGTGTCTGTACCCATGCTTGTTTGAGGAACGTCAGCCCCTGGGCTGCAGGGTGGGAGAGTGCAGCAGTGTGTCGGAGGGCAGGGGTGGGGAGTGTCCCATGTGAGCTGTACCACTTGCTTCAGCAGCTGCACCCTGCAAGCCCAGGTACCTCTTGCATCAGTCTGGCTGCCCAGGCTGGTGGGCTCTGTTTGGGCTCTGGCTCCCCCTGCTGGCAGGTGTCTGAAGCTGCACTTACCATGGGATGGGCCGACAATTCCTGGGCTGGATCATGCTGCCCTTTCCCCAGGAGGTCTTGACCCATAGGAGGAGCTGAGCTGTTTGGGGAGCCAGGGCCAGCCCATGGACACCCCCAGAGGTCCTGTCTTCAAGCCCCCTATACTATAACCCAACACACTGCACTCCTTTCTCAGCACTGGGACAGAACTCATGAGTCCAGCTCAGCTGGAGTAGTGAGCTCCCACGGATAGGAAGAAGTGGGGGTGAAAGGAGTCATCCCATGGGGTGGAACTGGGGCATCTGGGGGCAGGGACAGATACCATGTTAACAGCTCCCCTCTCTGCTATAGGCTCAGTCCCCTTCCGCCGCAGCGTCTGTTCCCCCATCTTCCTGTGGAGCCTGATCACCATGGGCATGACCCAGCTGCGCATCATCTTCTACATGGCTGCCATGAACAAGATGCTAGAGTTCCAGGTCACTGGTGGGAGCGAAGATGGTAAGAGTATGACCTGGGTGGTGGTGGGGAAGTGTGGGGGGGGGCCTTGGCCTTGTGGGTAAGGAGTTATTGGGGCATTTGAGAAGATAGGTGGGGGGTTGCTGGAGAGGCTGTGGAGGGCTCCTGCATCCTGTGTTACTTTTGGGGGTAGGGGCTTGGATGTGTTTGGGGAAGGGGCCCACCTCTCTCCAGTGTGTACAGGGACACAGGGATCTTAATCTTGGGTGCGTGTTGGGGGCGGGGGTCAGGTGGGAGCAGGGGAGGGACCCTCCATTTACCCCGTGTCTCTCTTCTGGATGCTGCGGTGTCAGAAAAGCTGCAGGAGGTGGCGGAGCACATAGGTAGGACCCCCGGCGTGAGCATGGAGTGGGGGGAGAGGTCTGCACCCTGTACTTCTGGGCTGCTGGCTCCCCCTTGAGGGGGCAGGACAGGTGGTTATGTGAGCAGCCCTGGGGGAGCCCCTGGCCCAGCACAAAGCCTTTGAGAGATGAGAAGGTTGTACCCATCTGGGGGAGGGGCTGAAGTAGGGTCTCCCCTGTGGGGTGGTAGATAAGTTGTCCCCCTTTGCACTGTGTTGGCAGGAAAAGTGTCTCCTTGTGGGGTGGATCCAGCCCTGGGGAAGTGAGGCCTGGGCACAGGATTCTACTGTGGGGCAGGATGAGGCACCAGCCTTCCTCCCTTGCGCTGTAGGTGGAGTCTGCATGTGGGCTCACCCCAGTGGGATGGGGTATGAATTTGGGGATACCCATATGGGCAGTGCTCTCTATAGTGGGCAGAGCTGTCTCCATCTGGGCAGAGTGGGGTATGCCTCCCCCACCATGGGGCAGGCCCTGGTGTAGGGGTCTCACGCTCTCCCCGCTTTCCCTTCTGAGCAGTGAGCATTTACTCCTCCATCTTTGGGGTCATGCAGTTGCTCTGCCTCTTCACCTGCCCCTTCATTGGCTATGTGATGGACTGGCGCATAAAGGACTGTGTGGATAGCCCGCTGGGCTCTGGGGACAGAGCATCAGGGTAAGAACACATGCATGTACCTGTATGTGGGTACCCTGGTGCTGGCCATGGGTCTCACTGGGTGGTCCTGGCCATTGTGCCTTGGGTGCACAGCCTCTGCAAGCTATGGGTTGACATATTCCCTGCTGTTCACAGGGCTGGGCTGGAAAAGCCAGGGGCCAAGCCCCGGTACCGTAAGGTGCAGAAGCTCACCAATGCCATTCGTGCTTTCACTTTCACCAACATACTACTTGTGGGCTTCGGTGTCACCTGTCTCATTGACAATCTGCCTTTGCAGGTAACTCCTGTCATGCTCCCCATGCCTCCCCCTGCTTGCAGCCATGCCCCTGGTCTGCCCTTCTGCCCCTCCACCTACTCTGACCCATCCTTTCCCAACAGTTCCTGACCTTTGTGCTGCACACCATGGTGCGAGGGTTCTTCCACTCCGCCTGCGGGGGCCTTTATGCTGCTGTGTGAGTTGTTCTGCACCCCCACCCATGCCCAGTCCCCCTCCCCCATTGCACCTAGCATCTGGTTCTGGGGCCTGCTCTGTATGTAGGGGGCACTGCTGTCCCCTTCCTCCCCCCCCAAATGGGGTAGGCCATGGAAGTTGGGGTGGGAAGCTTCATTGGGCAGGACTGATGGTCACATGGGAAGGAAAGGGGACAGAATCAGCTTCCCCCTCCCAGCCCCTGTAGCAGTCCTCCTTATCCCAGTTTTTCTTCCCTCACCTTTGCATGCTTTCATGTATTCACTCCCCCATGCAAACATTCATGTGCAGGATTGGAGGGGGTCACTGAAATCAGGTGAGGGGTGTTTCTAGGGCTCACACAGGGGGCGAGACAGTGCCCATTGTGCAGAGCCCTCACTAACTGCTTGGCCTTTGGTGACAGGTATCCATCCAATCACTTTGGCACCCTGACAGGCCTGCAGTCACTCATCAGTGCCGTCTTTGCCTTGCTCCAGCAGCCACTGTTCATGGCCATGGTGGGGCCACTGCAAGGCAACCCCTTCTGGGTAAGCCACGGGCTGGAGCTGGGCACCTCCTGGGACCCCCCTATACACGATGTACTCCTCACGTTCCCTGCTGGAGGAGACTTCACACACATACCTGGACCCACACATGTATACCTCCTCACAACCAGTTGCACCCCCCCCACAATTATACACATTCCCTCTTTACATAATCACACACGTACACACAATACTGTGCATCCCCAGCATCCACACACTCATTCATCTCATGCACTCACATCTGCTCCCCCAACATAAACATGTTTACGCACCCCCTGACACACACTCATTTACACATGTGCACCATGTGGAGATATACAGTGCCTTTGGGGAGTTTTGCTTGGCCCAGACTCCTTTCCTAATGGGAGCAAGTACTAGGACAGGGTGGGGGTGGGTCATCACCTCATGGCCTTAGCCCCAGTGGGGCAGGTGCTTTGCAGAGACCCCAGAATTTGCCCTGGGAGTGGCACCCAGTTGATTGATTACTTTGCACTAGAGAGGGTCATGTTCAGTACCAGGGGCAGGGTGTGTGGTTTGTACTGGATTGCCCCCAGCCTCACCCACCTGCTCATGGTTTACTGAGAGAAGGAACAGGATGGCTCAGGTGTAGAGGTGGAGGAATGGCTGGACTGGGGTGGTGAAGGGCTTTCTCCCCATTGCTCTTCCCCCTTGTCCCAGTTTCCAGTGAACATGGCTGTCTGCCTGCCATCCAGCTCCAACTGGCAGCTTTGCCAGCCAGGCCACATAACTTGGGAGGGGCTGGCTCTGCTGGGAAGGAGAACATGGCTGCTGCGCTGGCCCCTTTCCCAGCATGCTGTGCACATCAAACAGGGGTGGGGAACAAACATATTTTGGTGGTTGAATCACTGAGTGGGTAGCTCAGCTGCAAGATGAAATCATTGCTTTCCTTACCCCCCCTTCAAAATCCCTCCCACATCTTTCCCCCTCCTCAGGTCAATTTAAGCCTCCTCATCTTCTCACTCCTGGGCTTCCTGCTCCCTTGCTACCTTTGCTACTTCCGCCAGACCCTGCTCTGTGACCAGGCTGCTCCAGGAGGCCCCACAGACCAGGCCGAAGGGGCTCAAGTGAAGCTCCAGGACAGCATGGCCACCAATGGCAAGCTGAGTGCTGACGACACTGCCGCATAGTCCGAGGAAAGGGGATTGGGGGGGGGGGGGGGGGGGGGG